TCAACTCATCGTCGTGTGTTCAACACATATTCAACTCATCGTCGTGTGTTTCAACACATAATCAACTCATCGTCGTGTGTTCAACACATATTCAACTCATCGTCGTGTGTTCAACACATATTCAACTCATCGTCGTGTGTTCAACACATGTTCAACCCATCGTCGTGTGTTCAACACATGCTGCTTACGTCACCTGTTGACGTTCCCTCGCCTTGCGTTTGTTTTCAACGTTTATCAACTGTTGATTTTTTTGTTATTTTTTTTTATTAATGTCATTGCTGCAAAAAATTCCAATTTATATTATATTGTATTATGTCTGTCTCTTATACACATCTAGACGTGTATAAGAGACACGTGTACAGGCGCTACTGGCCGCGTGTACAGGCGCTACTGGCCGCGTGTACAGGCGCCACTGGCCTCGCGTACAGGCGCTACTGGCCGCGTGTACAGGCGCTACTGGCCGCGTGTACAGGCGCTACTGGCCTCGTGTACAGGCGCTACTGTACACGGAAGGAGCCAGTAACCCTTCACACAAGGCCATTAGCACGACCAGTATTGGAAAGTTCAAGTGGACGCCACAACTGTCCCCGTGTACAAGCATTATCAAGTATCAACCAGGCCTGTAACGTTGAAATAACGCTAGGTTAACGTTTTTTTAACGGAATCAACGTTTTTTAACGTCATTTGGAGAAATAGTTCGGTTGCTGGTTCATAATTAAATGAATTTCAAATCCCAATATTATTTTATCAACGATAAACACGTTGAATTGATCGTATTCATGGTACGCTGGTGCATGAATCAGTTGATTTGTGTTGAACTAACGCTGTGTTTCTTGCTCCCCCGCTGCCGCTGTGTTGGAACTCGTCGTGTGTTCAACACATAATCAACTCATCGTCGTGTGTTCAACACAGAATCAACTCATCGTCGTGTGTTCAACACAGAATCAACTCATCGTCATGTGTTCAACACAGAATCAACTCATCGTCGAGTGTTCAACACATAATCAACTCATCGTCGTGTGTTCAACACATAATCAACTCATCGTCATGTATTCAACACATAATCAACTCATCGTCATGTATTCAACACATGCTGCTTGCGTCATCTGTTGACGTTCCCTCTCCTTGCGTTTGTTTTCAACGTTTATCAACTGTTGATTTGTTTGTTATTTTTTTATTAATGTCATTGGTGCAAAAAATTCCAATTTACATTATATTGTATTATTTGTACCGTATTGTGTTATTTATTGTACTGAACTGTGTTAATGTATTATTTGTATTGTGTTATTGTATATTGTACTGTCATTATTGTATATTATATGTAACTAAATAAATATATATGTTATATATAAAATATAATTCCTATAACAGCCGTGGCCGGGGCAGCGAGACGCGCCTCCTGCGTCCCTAGTAGTGGAGGTAGTGACCGCTAGTGACTAGTGGCTAGTGTANTATCATTTATCCTGTCTCTTATACACATCTAGATGTGTATAAGAGACAGCGCTAGTGGCTAGTGGCTGGTGTGTGGCTTGTGGCTAGTGTGTGGCTAGTTGCTAGTGGCTGGTGTGTGGCTAGTGGCCGGTGTGTGGCTAGTAACTAGTGGCCGGTGTGTGGCTAGTGGTCGGTGTGTGGCTAGTGACTACTGGTCGGTGTGTGGCTAGTGACGCTAGTGGCTAGTGACCGGTGTGTGGCTAGTGACGCTGGTGGCTAGTGACCGGTGTGTGGCTAGTGACGCTATTGGCTAGTGGCCGGCGTGTGGCTAGTGAGGGTAGTTACTAGTGGTTGATGTGTGGCTAGTTACTAGTGGTCGATGTGTGGCTAGTGACTAGTGGCCGGTGTGTGGCTAGTGACTAGTGGCCGGTGTGTGGCTAGTGACGCTAGTGACTAGTGGTCGGTGTGTGGCTAGTGACTAGTGGTCGGTGTGTGGTGGCTAGTGACTAGTGGCCGGNCAATTAGCCAACTGTCTTTCCCACTTTTTCATTTGTAAATAAATATATGATTAATACAAGAAATATATTTCTTAATATAGAAGTGCTTAAATTTGGGAAAAAATATCAGTCTGCTCACTCTGCTGTATTCAGTCTAGGTAGACCTGTCTCTTATACACATCTAGATGTGTATAAGAGACAGGTGACACGCGTTCTGCTCGTATCACTGATACGCCCCTATTGCCGGGCTCGTATCACTGATACGCCCCTATTGCCGGGCTCGTATCACTGATACGCCCTATTGCCGGGCTCGTATCACTGATACGCCCTATTGCCGGGCTCGTATCACTGACACGCCCTATTGCCGGGCTCGTATCACTGATACGCCCTATTGCCGGACCAAACTGAGTCAGGTTGACCCACGCAGGACAAAATTTCATCGTCATTTGGACAAAGTCTCGCACATTTATTTGAGTGATGCATATTATAGTTCACCTAACGACCGTCCGGAACAATATCTAATAATATATTTTATAATATAAATAAAATATATATAAATTATAACGAAATAAAACGACGTTATATCAACATTTTTTCAGGGTTATTTCAACGTATTTTTCTTAGTAGCATAGTAGCTTATCTTTGCTTGCTTCTATATACACTAATATTTTTCTCTTATTAATTATATATCATATTTATCATCTTATACTATCCCAGTGCTGTCTTATATTGTTCATGTTTTTATATCCATCTTATCGCAAAAATTATCCATTAAGACCCAAAATAATCCCCCCTCCCCGGTTGGGGGAGCACTGAACTAACCATCCCTACTCCCCCCCCCCTTGAATTCTATTCATATTTTCACCCCTTTTATTAACCCCTAAAATAACCCCCTCTCTGTGGAGAAGGGGGAGTACTGAACTAACCCCCTCTACTAACCACCCCCTCCCCTCCTCGCCCCTCCGTAGCAGTCCACACCCGCCGGTTGGGGGCGCGCCAGAACTCCCTCCCCCTCATCGGGGTCCCCCCCGCCGTGAAGGGGGGCTCCGCCCTCCCCTCTGTCCCCGACGAGGGTCCAGGCTCGCCGACCAATGAGGAGTCGGAGGCTAGTCACGTGACCAAGAAAAGTGATGACGTCACGACTACGTCATCAGGCGCAGGCGCCTCGACCAATCACGACGCGGCTGGTGGTGACGACACCGCGGTGGGCGGGGCCTCAGACACTGATATTCGTATCACTGAAAACCCCTTGGAGCATCCGGCGGTCTAAAGATCATTTATTTCGGAAAAATGTGCAGAGGAATTAAATTATTTTGAAAAAGATGTTCAGGAAGACTCAAATTATTCTGAGAATGTTACTTTTAATTAATCTGAAAAATTTCTAAGTATTTTTTGCTTAAATGCTTATTGGGATTTCGTTTTGAAAGAGTTTGAGGGATCGGACCTGAAAAATGTTGAAGTGATTTTAAACGAAATAAAAGTATACTTGATTTATCCAGCAAAAATATCCTTGCCATGACATGATGAGTGTAATGCGCGTGTGTCACGTCAGCACCTCCTCCCTCGGATGCTAGAGCGCAACTGACGTTACCCGCTTGGCTGCAGAGTTGCCAGATGCTGCCAAGAGAAAACTGTTCATTTTACTCATAAAATGCCATACTTGGCAGTAATTTAGCGCAAAAATTAAATTTTTAAAGGTCTTATACATAGAGAACTAAAAAATTCAATTTAACTTTGATTTTCACCGGCCAACTTTCTTGAAAAAGACTCAAATTGTGAAATTTGTCCAGAAAAAAAGCCCATCTGGCAACCTGTTCGGCCGTAGCACAGATTCCGCCGCGTGACGCTAGGCCGAAAATTTTATTCCCTTGTCCTAAAATTAATTAGTTAATTAATTTAATTAATTAATTAATAATTAATTAATTTAGTGGCTAAAAGAGCAACGGCACACACTCATAAAAATAAATGGACGATTTTGTTCAAATATTGATAAACTCTTTTACCTGCAGCACGAGCATAAGCGGACCGAGCTCTGATACCTATTTTTATTGGGCCAAAGTGAGTCAGGATGACCCATAAGGGGATGGAGAATTGCAGGAAAGCTATTTAGACAAATCCCACTCGTTTATTTGAGTGTAGCGAGTTTTTTTTCCAATGCAGGCAGCGGTGACGCTATATATAGCAACGAGCCACATAGATATAATATATAGTTTACTTAGATATCTTCTGCACAAATTCATGAGCTTTTTCTTTAGAAAATATAGCGCTATTGATTGCAAAGATTTTGGTTCGCTGTTTCGTGAATTTTACACTTGAGCGCAAAATATCTTCAACCCCCTCCCCCCTCCTTCATTTTGACACTCAGAAAATCAGTGGGTCAAATTGTCCAAATTGTGACACACTTTCTGCACGTATCACTGATACGAGCGCCCTTTAGTCGGGGAAAAATAAGTCGGGATGACCTTCAAATGAGGTCAAAAATGCTCCACTACTTGGACAAAACTTCACCCATTGCTCTGAGTGTACAGAAATTCATCATTCCGGTATAATAAAAATGAAAACATTAATATAAGTAAAAAGCTTACGAATAATAATAGCATAGTAGATATATTTGTGCTGAGAGTCGATCTTTTAGCCGCGCGGTTTTTAAAACAATCTCGTTGTTTGTGTTCTCAGCTTGTGCATTGTTGGAACATGTGCTGTCTGTAGTGCCCAGCTGTACAAAAATGTCGCCTTTCAAAATAAGTTTTTTTTTGTCTTATTTATGAAGCATATTCGTTAAATTGCCTCTATAGTGTTTGAAAAATCACCGTTAATTTGTATTACCGGCATTTCATTTAACGGCAGACACGTGAAAAAACACCATGTTGACGTTTTTTTCCAAATTTAACGCTAGAAACCTGTAAAATATCTAAAAAAACAGCGATACAGTTTTTTAACTTGAGCGCCAGTGAGACTGTTTTCGCGTTTTTTTCGAAAAGTGTAATTTCAGACTGTGCTATGACCGGGTGGAGGATATACATCACCTGTCAAATTTTTTAATGAATTTCAGCCATGATGTAGGGATGCAGTATGACATTTTAATTTTGTTCACGATAAAATTGGTCTCTTAACTTGAGGGTTAAGGGTTAAAGGTCACTAAAGGGTTAAGAGGTAACCGTTCCAGCTTGTGCATTACTGAAACTTTCACAGCATGCCAATGACGTTGAAAAAACGTTAAAAAACGTTTTTTTGAACGTTAATTCAACGTCCGATGAAAAAAACGTCAAAAAACGTTTTTTGAACGTTAATTCAACGTTCGATGAAAAAACGTTAAAAACGTTTTTTTGAACGTTAATTAAACGTTCGATGCCTGTTGGATTGCTTTTTTCACTCAGGAAACTTAATGGGTCATAGTGTTCAAATAATGACACACTTTCTTACCCACGACACCAGTAGGAAGCTGAAGTATATAATAGCCTCTTACCGTGTACAACAAACTGGGTCAGGGTGACCCACATAAAGACATAAAGTGCGTCGCTATATGGACAAAGTCTCGCTCATTTATATGAGTGTGGGTTCCAACAATACACAGGATGCAACTACTTCTTCTTGTGTTCCATACAGAAGCTGTGTGTGTAATTAGCTGTTGTGTTGTCTATACCGAAGCCTGTGTTAATCGTGCATAGATTTAATATCTTTATATTATTGATGTGTTTTGTGTGTTGTGATTACTTAATGTTTTCTTTAGCATTAAATAATATTAATTATTATCTTAATATGAAATAATAATGAGGCGTCCTACACCCGCTTTGTTTTGAATTTTAAACCGTCGGCTTCAATCAGTCTTCAACGGTTCTACATATATTAACAATTTTGAGATACTATGAATTTCTATACTAATCAATTTCCTATAGAATTTTTTGTTGATCTATTAAATTCGAGTAGGTTTTCTACCAGCTTTGCTATCGCTTCCAAGTATTGATAAGTAGCTGTGTAAGTTTAGTCTGAATTATACATTGAGTTTTGTATTGTATTTTATTTGTTTTAATTAAAAACAAACAAACAATACACGTGTAGAATGTCACCTGATAAATAGAGAGCTTCTTAATTCTGCAGGTTACATTATTCTCTTTAACCTCTTAATTCTAACCTTTTACATTCTATCCTTTAATCTCTATGCCATACCCTTAACCATTCATACTCTTAATTCTTTACCTCCAACCCTTTATACCTTACTCTTATCCCTTTACCTTAACCCTTTACCTCAACCCTTCATACCTAACCCTTAACCCTACAAACTTAACCCTTAACCCTCTACACTTAACCCTTTACCCTCTACCTCGAACCCTTCACCACACCCTTCACCCCGCTCAACTAATAACTATTATATTGACATTAACTAATCTAAATAACCTTGGTCGTGTCAAGAAGCAGGAAACTTCATTTAACAGAAATTGACCTCATCGCTTCACATTATCTCGATATATATGCAAATCACGGCGTCTATGGAAATAGCATGTCATTAAATAATGTAATAACACGCTGGATATATTATGTGTTTTGTGTCAATGATATACTATTGTGTTGATAACATACTATTGTGTTGATAATATACTATTGTGTTGATAATATACTATTGTGATCCACGCTATCGTATCATTTATCCAACCGTTATGGAAATCTATTATTTACAATGGATGCTTATAAGCTTTAGCTGTGTTTAAATTGAAAGGTGATAAACTATTCGAAGTATTAAAGTAACAGCGTCATGATGTATGAAGATATGACGTAATAAAGTAACAGCGTCATGATGTATGAAGATATGACGTAATAAAGTAACAGCGTCATGATGTATTAATATATGACGTAATAAAGTAACAGCGTCATGATGTATGAATATATGACGTAATAAAGTAATGACAGTAAAGGTATTACCGAGATGAAATAATATAGTAATGAATCACTAAAGTATAATGACATTAATTTATGAAGTGTCTTGCTTGCAGAGGATGAAAACTAACGGCTTGATGGTATGAAGAGTGAATATTTTCCTCCTAATTTTTTATTGATTTAAAGTGAAAAATTTCATGTTGCTCGTTTCTCCGGTGCACCATTTATAGCGTTAATTTCCTTAATACTCATAACTGACGCTTGTAAAATATCTTATCTTATTTGTAATTTCTAAAAAATCTCGCTTTATCTCACCTACGTGTCTTGTCTGAAATTGACAAGGGACATGAAATTATCTCACTCCCGATCTGATTATCTCACTCCCGATCTGATTATCTCACTCCGCTCAACAAATAACTATTATGTTGACATAACTAATCTAAATAAGCTTGGTCGTGTCAAGAAGCCGGAAACTTCATTACCAGAAATTGCCCTCATCGCTTCACATTATCCCATTATTATCACATTATCATTATTATCGTATTATGCAAATCTCGACGTCTATGGAAATAACATGTCATTAAATAATGTAATAACTATGTGTTTTGTGTCTATCATATGCTATTGTGTTGATGATATACTATTGTGTTGATAATATACTATTGTGTTGATAATATACTATTGTGATCCACGCTATCGTATCATTTATCCAACCGTTATGAAAATCTATTATTTACAATGTATGCTTATAAGCTTTGGTTGTGTTGAAATTGAAACGTGATAAACTATTCGAAGTATTAAAGTAACAGCGTAATGATGTATGAATATATGACGTATTAAAGTAACAGCGTCATGATGTATGAATATATGACGTATTAAAGTAACAGCGTTATGATGTATGAATATATGACGTAATAAAGTAATGACAGTAAGGGTATTACCGAGATGAAATAAGTAATGAATCATTAAAGTATAATGATATTAATTTATGAAGTGTCTTGCTAAAAAACTAACGGCTTGATGGTATGAAGAGTGAATTTTTTCCTCCTAATTTTTTATTTATTTCAAGTGAAAAATTTCATGTTGCTCGTTTTTGCAGTGCACCATTTACAGCATAGCGTTAATTTCCTTAACACTTATAACTAACGCTTGTAAAATATCTTATCTTATTTGTAATTTCTCAAATATCTCGCTCTATGTTACCTATACCCGATCTGATTATCTCACTCCCGATCTGATTATCTCACTCCCGATCTGATTATCTCACTCCCGATCTGATTATCTCACTCCCGATCTGATTATCTCACTCCCGATCTGTTTATCTCACTCCCGATCTGATTATCTCACTCCCGATCTGATTATCTCACTCCCGATCTGATTATCTCACACGCGATCTGATTATCTCACACCCAATGTCACACCTACGTGGTGTGAGATGCTCGGGCACAC